GGAGCGGATGAGTCCAGATACAATAACAGTGGGAGATCTCAAGTAGAACAGAACATCCAGACAAAAATTAACAAAGATATCATGGAAGTAAACAAGGGACAAAATGAACTTCACAGACATTTATAGAATATTCCATCCTATAGCAACAGATTACATATTTTTCTCAACAACCCATGGAACTTTCTCCAAATTAGATCACATCCTAGGTCATAAAGCAAATCTCAACAAACAAAAAATTGAAGTGATTCCCTGCATCCTAACAGACCATAATAGAATGAAATCAGAATCAATGGCAAGCAAAGCCGCAAAAAGTATTCAAACTCATGGAGCTTGAACAACATGCTTTTGCAAATCACTGGGTCACTGAAGAAATTAGCAAAGAAATTCAGAAATACCTAGATTCAAATGAAATTGAAAATAAAACTTACCAGAACCTGTGGGACACAGCAAAGGCAGGCAGTGTTTAGAAGAAAGTTTATAGCCCTGAGTACCCATCAGAAAACTAGAGAGATTGCAAATAAACAATCTGATGATATTTATCTGATCTTGCAATGTGAAAGGCATAAAAGCATGAAGGAAAAGAATAAATTCTTTTTTTGCAGTACTGGGGTTTGCATTTGCAAGACAGGAGGTGTACCACTTGAACTATGCCCCTACTCCTTTTCTTCTGGTTGTTTTGGAGATAGGGCCTTGCTTTTTGTCTAGGCCAGCCTGGACTGTGATCCTTCTGTTTTATGTTTCCCACCATTGCTGGGATGACAGTCATGTGTGCCACCATGCCCAACTCTTTCCACGGAGATGGGGTCTCAGGACCTTTTTTGCTTGGGCTGGCCTAGAATGCAATCCTCCCAATCTCAGCCTCTCAAGTAACTAGGATTACAGACATGAGTCACTAGTGCCCAGCTTATATCAAATATTTTTAAAAACTTAACTAGAAGTTAAGGTCTGTCTGAGGAAATGTTGATGAATGTGTTAGGGACATGTGACTGGCACCTTCAATATATAGAAGACATGAACACACAGACACACACTCCAAAACAACTCTTCACAGCAGGAAAAGCACAAGTTACATGAAAAAAAAAACTTATGGAAGAACCAATATACACAATTCATATGAAAAATGTTTAGCTTTGTTAGTAACAAAAAATACCACCTATAAAATTGGCAATTAAAAACTACTAGTATCGGTGAAGGTAGAGCAAAAAGGATACTTCCCTAGAGTGGATGCAAGTGTAAATTGATATAGCCTTCTCAGAAGCAATATGAAAATATGCATCTACAGAAAGCCATGGGGACTGGGGTATAGTTTAGTGGTAGAGCACTTGCCTAGTGTATGCAAGGCACTGGGTTCAAGCCCCAGCACAAGTGGGGTGGAGGGGGGCGTGTAAGTATGGATACTGATACAGTGATTCCATTTTTAGGAATTATACCCTCAGGGAACAATCAGAAATGCAAATAAGACTTTCCATAGCAAGGATGTCTGCTGTAGCCTCATTTAAAATTGTGGAGAATGTGGAACAGCTCAAATGTCCAGCAATACATGCATGAACTGACAAGTTCTGATGTGTTCATGTGGCGGAATATTTGGCATGTAGATACTGTTGGTGGAATTTAGAAGTTAGGGAAGTGTATGAAATAGTAAGGAAATGAAAGATAATATGTGTGATGGTTAATCTTGGTTGTCAACTTGATTGGACTGAGAAGTGCTCAGATTAGTAATGCATACCTCTGGGCATGTCTGCTGGGCGGTTTCTGGAGGTTACTAATGAATAAGGAAGACCTGCCCTGACTGTGAACAGTGCCATTCCATAGGCTGGAGGCCTGGAAGGAATAAGAGGGTAAAAGGAGAGAGCTGGAAGGCAGGCGTACTTTGCTCTGTCTTTGCTTCCTGGATGCCAGGAGGCAAGCTGCTCTGCTCCGTGATGCTCTCCTTACCACGGTGGACTGTGACCTCTGGAAGCATGAATCCTGATTCATTGTCTGGAAGAATGAATGACTGATTCATTCTGGAAGCATGAATCAAAATAAATCTTTCCTCCTTTAAGTTGTTCTCTCAAGAATTTAGTCACAGCAATTAAAAAACAAAAACAAAAAAAAGCTGACACAGTATGTCAGAAAAAGAGAGGGAGAAGAGAGAATCATAGGGACCAACAGAGTGAGAACACAGAGCAGGGCCGGGATTTTGTGCCCAGGGTTTGGGAATGTGACTGAACAGTGGCCTGGGGAGTGGCAGGTGGGCAGCTCTGCCACTCCAGGAGGGTTTGCCAGGCTCAGTTGGGTCCCTGCAGGGCTGCTCGCCAGAACTGTGTCCTGCTGCTCTCCCTTTCCATGGGAGAATGTGAGCATGGCTTTTAAGGCTAAGAGGAGCAGGGGGCTGGTGTGCCTGGCAGTCAGTCAGAGGGCTGAAGGCCGACGTCAGCTGCCTGGGACTTGGAGGACCGTGCTGGCCTCTGGTTGGTGGGAAGTGAAGCTCAGAGGCTGGCGCTGGCCCTAGGAAGGAGGAGCGGCTCAGCTCACTGCCCAGCAGTACAGAGTACCTCGGTCGTCACACACAGTTCTCCTGTCTCCCAGAAGCAGGGCCAACAGAATCTCAGGAGTTTGTTCTGTTGGAAGTGAGGCTATGGGAATTTTTTTCCCAGGTGGTATGCCTTGCTTTATAATCAGAAAAGCAGCATTATTTAAAAACATTATCCAAATAACTAGAGTTTTATTTGCATACGGTCCTAAGAATGAAAATTTCCCTCCTTAGCAAAGGTTATGGTCAAGACCCTGGCGTGCTTGGGAAGGAGGCAGAGCATCCAACACCTAGGTGTGCGGGATGCTTGCTGTCTTCAGGTTGTCTCCTGGACACCAGGCCTGCGTGAGGACACGGGGACCTGGGCAGTGGGGCCATTCCAGTGCAGCCTGGCTTTGCCTCCTTGCTGGTGATTGCTCAGAGAGGCTCTTGCAATTTCCTTGTTAGGAGGATCATCTGCTTTGTTTTCCAAACCCTTTCTTCTCTTTTGGTGATACTGAGGTTTGAATTAAGGTCTCTGTGCTTGTTAGGCAGGTGCTATACCACCTGAGCCACACTTCTAGCCCTTTTTACTCTGGCTTTTTGTTCAGGCTGGCTGACACCATTATCTTTCTATGTTACAATTTCCATACCCAGCTGTTTTCAATCAAGATGGAGTCTTGCAAACTATTTTTTTTTTTTTGCCTGAGGTTGGCCTAGAACCACAATCCTCCCGATCTCAATCTAGTCAGTAGCTAGAATGAGCTAGTGTGAGCCACTAGTGCCTAGCTTATTTTCCACATCTTTATTGAGAAACACTTCAGACATTTTAACAAAAGTGAAAGAACAGTAAAACCGACACCTGTATATGCACCATCCAGGCTTGACAGGAGTTAACATTTGCCCATGTTTGCATCTCTGTTTACATTTTTGCTCCTGCCCCCTTTTGGACAATTAATTCCATAGTAAATATTTGGTGTCTTCACAGTACTGTAATTCAGTACCGTCTCCTGCAAACAAGGTCACTAACCTGAATGACTGCCATGTCATCTCCACTGAGGTGCATCCCACTTGTCCCCTATTGTCACTGATACCCAATCCATGCATACAGGCCTCCCATTTGCCCCTGAATGTCATCCATAGCTTTATTTGGGGTGGGGGCTAGGGTAAACCCATGATCCAGCCAGGGCTCACACACTGTATCTGCTTGATTTACCTCTGCTATCTTCTATATTCTAGACTAGGTATCTCTGTCTCTCTGTCTCTCTCTCTCTACCTCTCTTCATCCTTCATCCCCATAGCAGTGACTTTCTGTGGGGAACAGATTATCTTATAGAATGCCCTGTGTTCTAGATTTGCCTAATTGTCCCCACTTGTGAGGGAGACATTTAACTTGTTCACCTAACCCTTTATTTCCAATGAAGTTAAAATTAGGTATAGAAGGCTGATGGGACGCAGGTTAACATCTTTAATGAGAACTCTTCAGTGCTGGTATTGTGACTTGGTGTCACACCCGCCAGAAGGCCTGGACTGCAGGGTGTCTCACAGTTGGTGAGTCTAGGCTTGGCAGTGGTGAGGGTGGTGACAGCCAGAGATCTTCTTGGCAGTGATATAGTTTCCCCCTGCAATTAGATAACAACCTATGTGGTAATAACGCAGTGCCGTGTGACAGCTCGTTCCCCATTGACATTTACCCTGTGATTTCAGCATCCGCTGAGGACCCTTGTCCGAGAGAACTGTATATGGAGGAATTACACGGTTGCTTCCGTCTTACTAGCTGACATTCTCCTGTAAGAAAGAGCTTCCCCATCAACAGCAGAGGCCACACATAGTCAGTGGGCATTTCCCCCTAAATGCCGAAGTGCAGAGTAATGAATTGCATTAGTGCCAAACATGGGTCTTCCTTCACTCTGTTTTGGATATCATCAGGGTTGTGGAGATGTTTTAAACTCTAATATTTTACCCTCAATTATAGTCACTATGCATTTTCTTATTGAGAAAAATTTATAAATCATAAAATACACTTCTTTAAAATACACAACTTGGCTTTAAAAATATATTCACAAGATTCACCAACCACCACTATCTGATTCTGGAACATTCTCCTCATCCTGGAGAGATGCCAAGTTACTCTCCATTTCTCCCTCCTATAGGCAACCACTAGCCTGCTGGTTATGCCTTGCAGATTTGCCTGCTCTGGACATTTCATATAAATGGAGTCATACGATATGTGTCCTTCTATGTCTGACATCTTTTACTGAGCAGTATTTTAGAGTTCCTTCATATTGCAGCCCTTTTCTCCTTTTCATGGCCGAATAATACTCCATTGCATGGATATACCATGTTTTGTGTATCTATTCATCAGTTGATGGACACATGTACATTTTCATATGAAGAAAACACACAAAACAGACTTTTCGCTCACATTAGGACTTCATGGTGTAAGCCATGTGGATAAAATGTGAACCTGAGGTTGATGACGTGCTACTTCTTCTGTGTGTTGCAGTCTAATGCTTGCGTGCTATGCAGGACACCTCGATGTCGTGAAATACCTGCGAAGACATGGAGCTTCTTGGGAGGCTAGAGACCTGGGAGGCTGTACAGCTCTGCACTGGGCTGCAGATGGAGGCCACTGCCCTGTGATTGAGTGGATGATAAAAGATGGTTGTGAGGTATGGGCCTTCCTTGTGAACCACAGGGTACCGTCAGGAACCTGAAATGCTTTCCGTAGGGCCAAGAAAGAACAGGGCTTTGGTCATTTCAACTTGGAAATGCTGAGAAGGGCTTCTGCATGTCAGCAAGAAAGCAAGGATCTTGGAAAGTGAGATCCTGGTGGTCCCGATACACTTAGTGGGCCCAGGTTGTCAGGTTGGTCTTGTGGAGAAGAAAGAAATGGGGCTGAATTCAGAGCTGGACCTGATGCTTCTGCTTCATTTATTCCTCTGTCCATTCAGTTATTTCTCTCCTTATTCAGTCTCTCAGTGCTTTGTTGAGCCTCTCCCACATCTCAGAGATTGTCCTAAGTGCTGGAGGCACAAGGATGGTGAGTGGTGTCACAGCCACAGTGCTTCTTGTTGCTTTTAAAGTCATTTTTATTCTTGGTTTCCTTTAAAGATTAGGCATTGCAGAAAGGCCCCAGGGTCAAGCTGAGTGTATGGAGAACAGAACATTTCAGCTCTTTCTGTCTACCCAGAGCAGGCATGCTGGGCTCCTGGGTTCTGTCATCACGAAGAACAAACCTGCTGTGACAAACAGAAGTTGAGCTTCTTGAACTTGGATAGGTATTTGATGGAGGGCAATTACAATTAGACCAATTATGATAACTGCTATTAACTTTGAAAAAAAATTTTTTTTGGTGATGCTGGGGTTTGAACTCAGGGCTTTACACTTCCTAGGCAGCCAATCTGCATCTTCAGCAATGCCTCTAGCTCATTTTGCTCTGATTATTTTGGAGATAGGGTCTCACATTTACCCAGGCAGGCTTGGACTGAAAGCCGGGACGACAGGCATACGACACTATGCCCAACTATTAGTTGAGATGGGGGTCTCATAAGCTTTTTTGGGGGGTCTGGGCTGGCCTCTAACCCCAATCCTCCTGATCTTAGCCTCCTAAGTTGCTAGGATTACAGGTGTGAGCTGCTGATGCCTGGCATCTTTGAAAACTTTAATCTCTTCAAAGCCTTGGACTAAGAATTTCTGGGCATGGAAATAATGGATGGACAAATACCATGCTGACAGTGACTGCCGGATGGCAGGGTTCTGGGAAATTAAACTGATGACCTGGAGAATTAACTCAAATGAAGAAAAATCATGTCTTCCAGAAGATGTCAGCAGATTTGTTCTCATTTGCTGCTGAAGTATGATTGAGGGGAAGCAAGGTGTATGTGGCAGAGTATCATTGGTTCCTGTTGCTGTTTGTGGAGAGTTGAGAAGTGTTCCCTTGAAGGAAAATCTCAGCCATGAAGAGATTCTTGTTCATCATTTGTTTCTTTATGTCTTACAGACATGCATAAGAGGTCAGGAGGCTGAGCCCTTGGGCTTCAGAGGGAGAGCCAGGCCATATTCTTCTCATTTGGTTTATAGTGAGCTGTGCTCATGATTCAGACCCAATAAAAGTCTGTAGTTGAAAAAGGCCGATCTTTGCTGAAAGAGGAAAAGAATCCAGAATTGGACAGCCTCTGCTTTGAACATTTTAAATATGGAATTTTGGAAATGTATGCTCTCTGGGCTTCAGCTAAAAACACAATTATTTGGGATAAATTCTATCTTTCTCTGTAGCACAGAAGCCATGCTGCAGAGGACATAGCCGTAAGCATGAATGTGTCTCCACTGGATATTTCCCTGTGGCTGCTAGTGGTGGACAGATGATGGCAACCTGAGTGTCTGTGCCCTTGGCTGAAGGCTCACCTGACACATCTGACGATGTGGGAAGCCAAGCTGGGTGTTGCCATTTTCTTCCCAAATGTAATGCTGTTATGCTGAGAGTGACACATTTCCTTGAATGGGGGAACCATTTCTACATTTGACAAGCCACGTGACCTCAGAAGAGACACTTGATGTCTCTGAGATTGGTTTGATCATTTCCAGACTGGAAAGCTTCAGGACCAAAGGGTGAAAGCATGTTGAAAATTGTACAAAGCCTCTTGAATTAGCAGGTGACGATTTTATCACTGTTCAAACTCAGTAGGCTTGTTGCTCATGAGTTCTTTATTTGCATGAAGAAGAATAAGGTTGCTTGGATGATCTCATACATAAAAATAACCCAAAGTGTCCCCAGGACCTCCTGCCAGTTCCTTGTTGGTTATTCTATCCTGATGTTTCACTAAAGCAGAAGATCATCTTTGAGTAGTAACAGAAGTCTGTGTGTGTGTGTGTCCACCATGCTCACACACACCTATCTTTACTTCAGTACCACTCTTCCTATTTTGCTTAGGTCTTTGTTGGAGTTGCGGGGGCGGGGGGGGGGCAACATTTACATTTTCTTATTTTACAATATTTCTTTTAAAACACTAAGTTTGAGAGAATTCAGTGCAGAGCAGGTTTTGGAAAATGGGTTTCTTTCTACTGGGCACACTGTTTTGGAGAAGCATTTAGTCAGTCAGCTTTTCCTGTTAGAGCTGGTGTAATGGATCTGGTCTCCTTGCATTGACTGTGGGTCTCCTGCCTGAACTTGGTGAGTGTTGCTAAGTATAATGGTGTGTGTCTATTTATCTTATTCCAGAAAGGATTTAAAGCACTTACAAACACAATTTTTAAAAACAGGTGGGGAAAGTTATGCAAGAGAACATACCACATGAGCTCATACGGGACCAAGAGTAAGGTCAAGTTCAGTTGCCACTTCTAGTGCATCTTTTTCCATTTTAAAACAATGGAGATGAAAATGCCCATGAGAGTCCCGGGGCCTGTGGCAGAGGGGGAACCTTCTCATTGCACACAGATGTGACTTGTTAGCATAACCTGATCGACTTGAGCCAAGTCTAGACAGACCTTCAGTGAAGCCAGGAGCTGGGTGGTAAACGCTCCTTTTGCAAGCCTGTGAGGAAGTATGCTATAGAGAGGCAGCGAGCTGACGCAGTGCTTCATCTGTCGCCACAGGTGGATGTCATGGACACTGGCTGTGGGTGGACCCCGCTCATGAGAGTCTCTGCAGTGTCTGGAAACCAGAAGGTGGCCTTGCTCCTCATCGAGGCTGGGGCCGATGTGAATGTGAAGGACAAAGACGGAAAGACACCACTCATGGTACGCCCTTCACCTGCAGGTCTCAGCTTTTTCTACAATTTGACCTTCCTGTGAGTTCAGCCCTGGTTTTGGTTGTGTATATTAATCCCTAGCAGCCTGTTAATAAAGGCATGAGAATGTCACCACCAGGTTGGCCTTGAACTCCTGGGCTAAAGCTATCCTCCTGCTTCAGCTCCTCTCCCACAGTAGCTGAGACCACCGGGGTGCATCACCATGCCCAGCACTGTACTCTTTTGATTGTCTTTTACAACTGCTTGATTGAGGATTACCAACCCCAGTCCCACTGGAGGATCAAAACAGACCTTTTAAAACAATGCTTTTCTGTGCTGGGCTGGCCTGGTCTTTACTGTATCATTATTTCAGCAAGGACAAAGGGAGGTGACATTTCCACTGTCCTTGTGGTTGCCACTGCTGGGCAGTGACTAGAACACAGTCCTGTCATGCAAAGCCTGACAGCTGTGCCTTTCTGATGTTGCTGGTTGTCTCGGCTGCCTGCACCCCCTGCAGGAAGGGGAGTGCTCCTCACACCACACTGTTCTCTTTTTCAGGTAGCCGTATTAAATAATCACGAACAGTTGGTTCAGTTACTTCTTGACAAAGGGGCAGATCCAAGTGTCAAAAATGAGGTAAATAAACTTTACTGGAGATTTTCTTTTGGAGGAGAATACAACACAAGGATATAGAGTCTAATACAGATTATATAATCTTTGCTGTTTCCTCTTTCAGTTTGGCAAAGGTGTCCTAGAAATGGCCAGAGTTTTTGACAGACAGGTGAGGATGTCCTCTCTGTCTACCAAGGCTAATTTTGTAGTACTTTCACAATCGAAATGGCCACCAAAACCTTGGAGGACATTCACCTGTTTGTTTTGTTTTTCTAGAATGTCCTCTCCTTGTTAGAAGAAAGAAAAAAAAAGGTGCTAAGTAAGTCCTCCATTCATCAGTGAGAACCACCTGCCTCCAAGGGCCAAGTGAAACAGCAAAGTGCGACTGTTAAACCAAAGAAATCCTGCGTCTCTGAGATCTGTACATTTATTTATTTAGTTGAAGATTCACGGTGACTTTTCTGTAACAGACAACTGTTCCCGCATTGAAATACATCTTTTTTAAACTAAGCACGTGTGTATGTGCTCTCATCATTGGGCGACTATGGCTCGGGGATGTTTGCTTGCACTTGTGACTTTGGAGCTAGACATGAAACAAAACGTTTATGCACCAGAGCTACACAAACATCCATGGGTCTCCACTCCCAGCTTCTGCCCCCCAGCTGTCCCTCGAGCTATCCAGGCCTGTGGGCCTTCTTCCCCCCACATGTTTCCTATTATCTCCCCTCCTCACTGCAGGCCTTCCCGGCTGTGCCGCCAGGCTGCTGTTACCTCCTGCCGCGCTGCTCCTTCTAAAACCCAGAACTTTTCTCCTCTGTTCTTGGCCTCACATCAAAGCTCAAAATGCATCTCTCAAGACTCTGGTCCTGTTCTGTTAGTGGTGTCTGCTTGAGGGTCAGTGTTCACGGAACAGGCCTGGCTGTGCATGTGTTTGCATACCTCACGGTGGTAGCCACTGGCAGCTTGACCAGACTAAGTGCATTAAATTTAGTCTTCGGAGTGAAAAGGATTTTGAAGCTGATCTTGTAGTTTGCAGACAAGTAAGGGTTAATGGCACCCAAATCTGCTGTTTGGGAGCTTAAAGACACAAACGTGGTGGAGCTCTAGCTCTGAAAACACATTGAAAAACAGCAAAGAAGTGAGCAGACCAAATGCAGATCACATCTAGACACAGACTGATTAGCTTGGCCTGCAAGTAAACCTGCTACAAAGATCCACACAGGAGCGGAATTTTCTTGGTGGGGAAGGACCAACTTAAAGGTAATTACAACCCCAAAGCTTTTGGGAAAGGGAGAGGACACAGGGAGAATGTGTTGTTTTATTGATGTTGGTGATCTTCAGCTCTATTCTGAATGTGCACCCTGGGAATTGGTTTTGTGAGCTATAAATAATCCTGCTCACAGACATTTCATTGGCATTTTTTTTTCTTTTTTGCCTTTTGGACAAATGCATTCTATGTTTGCTAGATTAGATTTCTAAAGAAGTCTAAAAATTGGAACATATTTACGACTTTCTGAAGCTCCCCTCCCACTTTCCCTGTGATCAGTGTTGACATTCACCTTCACTTCATTTCCCGGTCTGTTGCAGCATGCATTCACTGGCCTCTCTATGGAAGGAGTGCACACACATTCCTTCTTGCTAACATCAAGCTTGGCAACGTGGTGCATCCTACATGCCTGCGATGGTCTCCCCGGGCTCTAGTGGACTGCTGGATTCTCTATGCTCATGTGCTACATCGGACAGCCCTGTCTCCTTTTTTTTGCTTAATGAGATTAGAAGATGGCTTATCGCCTGTCTTAATTTTTCGTTAGAACAATTCATGGTTTTATTAGTCCAATTTTTCTAATTCCTTATTTTATACTTTTTATTGCTACAAATTCATTTTTTTCTATTTTACCTATTCCTTTTGGAAGTTCCTTTTATAGATATTAAATCCACTCACTGTTGACTTTTAAAAATAATATATGTATTTAGGGCTATGAATTTTCCCCTCAGCACGGCTTTAGTTGTATTAGCATAAGTTTTTTTTTTTCCCTTCTAAAACTTTCTGATCTAAAGATTCAATTGGGAAGACTTGCTAACTACAGATTCTTGGCCACCCCCCTCACACCCTCTGAAGTATGGATTTTAACAGGGTCACAGGTGAGTTATTTTTCAGGGAGTTGAGAAAGTCATGAAAGTTACAATGTGCTTTATTTTCAAATAATCATCTGCAATTTATCTTTAAGTAAAGATTCATTACAGTTCCAGGGCACAGAATTGTTTTTTTGATAGTCTTCTCCCCACCCCCCCAGAGGCACTTGCAAGGAAGTTATATTCTTTGTGTGTAAGATCCCACGTGACACACATCAGTTTGCATTACCTTGTCATCCATGTTGGCATTCATCTATGTTACTTCACAAGGCACACTTGCTCTGTCGTGAGTGGAACAAAGTAAGAATAATGCTGTCATCTTTGCAACCATCTTGCATATGCGTGTTTTCTGCAGTTTTGTGAAGTTGGATGCTATTAAAAAACTTGTACACATATATCCATTACATTTATATTTGCTTTGCCTTATATGCATGATACATCTGCACACACTGTCTAGTGTTTGAATTTCTCTCTTACATAAATAAGGTGAGTTTTAAAATTTATTCTGATAGGTTACAAATTTACATTGTTCAAAGAAAAGTACCAGGCCCCCCACCCGCTCATGGGTGGTGCATGAACAGATGTCTTTGTCCCTCCTCATCCTCTCACCTGTATCCTGAGGACTGGCAGCAAGCAGTCCAGGCTCACAGCCCCCTCCAGCCATTCTTCTTAGTTTTTTGTGCATTGCTCCAAAATTTCCTTATGCATTTATAAATGAATGACATCATTTATACATTTTTTTTAACATGAGAGTTCTCCCGTTTTTGTAACATTCTCAGTAATGAATGAGACACTTTTTGTTTACCTGTTTACCATTTATTGGATATAATGTTCTTAACAGTGACATTTTCTACTGAAACAGCAGGTTGTGTTCACTTGTAAATCCCCAGAATGAGCAATGTGTACATAAGGAACAGAACATAGTATAAAAAGTTATGTGAAAAAATTGGCAAACCAAAGCATTATAAATGGATGAAGCACTGGAGTGTGACTATGCTGGTTTATGTAGCTATAACTTCAATCTATACTGTGCTAAATAGCCTGTGGCCAAGGGAAGAGAGTGACATGGACAGTTGCCACACACTTTGGGGCTTCCCCACTACCTACCAAATTGCCCTGATGGAAGGAGCTAAGAGAACTATTTGTTCTGCCTCAACTTATCCTGCCTTGGAGTCTTAGAAGTTTTGCTTGTTTTTTTTTTTAAATTTGTTTTTCTTATCATGACCTATAGGTGCCTGCTTATAGGCCATGGATGTAAAACACTATTCAAGTTCTTTGTAAAACTAAAATGATCACATGATATTCATTCTCTTGTCTCAACTTAAATGTGCTAAATTAAGGTTCAAAAAGTTACTCTCTAGAAGAATCACAGGGAACATAGCACGTTTTGAAGGCAATGTAGAAAATGAGGGCACTCACTTTAAATTGACAATGACTTTGAGTATTAAACCTTCTGTGACCAGTATCCATTATTGAGCACTTTAACAATCTGATATGCAGTATTTCTTTTCCTAGTTTTTCTCATATGAAACAAGTTTGTAATGGCTAGATTCTGAACTGCCTTTACTGTCCACAACTTAAGGGAGAGGTGTGTCTACAACAGGCAGGAAACAGCACACTCACATGTGGGTACATGGCTCCAGGGAAGGTCCCTTACTGCACAGCCCCGATTCTGAGTGCCAGGCTCCCAAGTCTTTCTTGGATGATTACTTGTTTCATTGCCAGAGTTTCAAAACATTTAAGAGCAATAGGTGTCAATGGAAAATTTAGAGTGATTCAAGAGAATTTTGTAATCATAGCTAAATTGATTTCCCTCTTTAATTAAAACAAGGTATAGGGTAGGAGGTCACTGAGTTGTGTGTTATAGGCAGGGGTTGGGGACTCTGAGGGACTTGAGGCTGGGGATACTGGTAGGGTTGCTCTTCTGTGTCTCTGGAAAAGGCTGGACTTTGGTGCCCAGTAAGTGGACTTTTGCAGCATGGCCACACACTGCGGCAGCCCCCACTTTGGCTGACCTGAAGTAGCGTTGAAAATAGAGATTTGACCATCAGAGAGTGGAGAGGCCTCGGCATTGGATTTGGCCTGAGTAAGGCACTTGTGTCCAGTGATAGGGGAAGGAAAACAGATGCATTAGTCTCTGGTTCCTGAGTCCAGATATGTGCATGGCGTTGCTAAGTCATGGAGAGTGACTGGCAACATAGGGCTGGTTTCTAGCTTGAGTGGGGAGAGCAGACAGTCCTCCACCAGCCAGTGTGTGAGAGTCACAGCTCTGGGTCAGCACAGGTGCTGGGAGACTTTTGGGAGGGCTGATATAACTTTAATCTGGGTCACTTGTGTATGGCTGGGACCATTTTGAGAGCAATGAGGAAGGATCTGTAGACCACGTCTGCCCTGAGCTTTCTCCATAACACCTAGTGAAGGGAGCCCCTCCTAGAACAGCTGAAATGTGAAGTGAACCTCATGAGGAAAGACTGCAAGTGGTCAGGTACATTAGGAAGATCTGGCCCCGCTGGCTCAGTGTGCTTAGTAAACATCAATTGAGAGGTGGCACGGGGTTCTCCTTGGCCCAGTTCCAGGCTCTTTTTAGCACCTTGGGGTCACAGGCTCCTAAGAATATTCTGACACAGATCACTTTGAGCAGTTCTAGAGGATGCACTGATGTGTTGTATTGATTTGTCAGAGAACAATGGCTTACAGTTTCAGCCTGAGAATTCCTAATAAAGTTAAGAAGGCATAAAAATGTCCCCTCTGAGATTTGTCAGGAGTATTCATTCTCATATAGTTTAATTTGTTGCTTTTGTTGGTTTCTGTGATGTCATCCCACATGTGTAAGCTGGAAAAATTCACACTGGGAAGTGTAACCTCCTCATGCAGATTTCCAAATGGAAAAAGTTATGCATCGTTTCTCTTGGTTGCCACACATCTGATTCCATGTGTCAAGAAAACAAACTCTTAAGAATATTTCAATAGATAAACTTTTCAATGGAATCCCTGGAAGATTAGCTGTATACCACCTGGTAAAGTGGGGCTTTGTAGCCTACGACCATTCCTAGATGTAGGAGGAAAAGCAAGCAGCTTCCAGGCCTGCTTTGTGTCTAGGCACTGAGCTTTCTCAGTTATGGTGTTTTCTTTCTTTCTTTGTTTTTTTTTCTTTTGCTGGTACTGAGGTTTGAACTCAGGGTCTCATGCTTGCTAGGCAGGTGCTCTACCACTTGAGACATGCCCTCAGTGATAGTCTTATAAAGTTCAAACCAACTCTATTGTTTATACTTATAAAATTAAAAACATATTAAAGAAATTGCCATTGAAATAGATGTATTGGTTTTTGTTTCCATCATTTAAAGAATATAAAAATGGAGAGAAATACTCTCTCAGCCCCCAACAATTACCCTGGTTACTGGTTCCTAAGCAACATTAAAGTGGAAGTTATTGCTAAATATGCTTTATTTGATAAATATTGCATGTTGGAAGTATTCTTTTAATATGATTTGTGTATTGTAAGGGACTATTAGGATTAAATATGTTCTTATTCAGTAATAAATGGCACGGTTCTATAAAAGCACGTAGTCCTGTAGAGATAAGAATGTGTCACCAGCCACAGTCCCTATGTGGCCACTGACAACATGGCATAAGATCACAGTTTTAACCTCCTTTAATACCATTATCTGTTCAGAAAGAACAACAACAACAACAACAAAAACCTGGTGATGTTCATATCTTTCCTCTTACTCGAAATAGAAGGAGAGGCTAAAATGTCAGCTCTAAGGATTTGGGCATCTAGAAAGACAATATGCACATCATGCACCATAAAATTCTGTAAACCTTTCAAAGTGTATGTTTTGGCCTTAATACAATTACCAAGTGTCACATCAGTTACAGTAATCCTGTATGTACCTCATCAGCAGTAATTTCATCTAGCATGGCTTTGCATTTCTAAGAAAATAACTGTATCATAAACAGATGCATGCTATAGGAATGTATTAGCCCGGGTTCCCGTTTGTGCATTTGTGACTTGGATTTTTTATCCATACTTATGAATACCGTGTTGTCTAGATACAGTGGGGAGCATGCGCAAAGTGAAATGCAGTTTCATTTTTTTGGAAGGCAAGCCAAGATTCTTGGTATATATTTTTCTTTCTGCCTCAAGGCATAAGAGAACTGTTGAAATGACCTCAAAAAGAAGTCTTATCATAAAACACTTACAGTGAGTGATAGAAATGTTGTCACTTGCCTTCTAATGTGAAAACTAGTCAAACATGACTCCACAGAATACAGTGAGAGGCATAATGGCATTTGGCCTTATTTGAGTATTTTTGTATGTTTCATGCCATTAGATTCAGGCATCTTAAAGACTTTGTGAAAACAGCTCCCCAGGAAGACACTGGAAGAATAAGAAGCTGAAGGGGCAGCTTGCCCAAGCCTGCCTTTCATGAATATATAGGATTAGGAAATTGATTTCCTTAACACATTCTGTGATGCTCAACAGGTAGATTGCAAGCTTTTAAGATTCAGACTGTATGCTGAAAACATCCTTTAAAGATTCCTGCTGTCTAGCTGAGAAAATAGGATGTTCCAAAGAGAACTGAATGGTAACTTAGGGTCTGTGCCCAACATAGACTGTAAGGATAGAAGACATAGGCTGTACCAATGAGCATAAGCATTCCATTTGGCTATAGTTTTTGCAAGCAAAGGGATTCTGCCTAATTTTTAAATATGTTGAGCCTTGCTGTAAAAGGAGATTTTTATCTGCAGAATTGATTGACTAGATCTGGTTACTAGTTCACATCTGAAAATCATTATTATGGTCCCAGAGAAAGCCTCATCTATCTGTCTGAACACAGGGTCATTGTACTGCAGTTGAGAAGACAATATGGTAATTTGCTTAGCTCCAAATAGTACAGGGAGATGTGGCTTTGCAGTGCCCAGGCAGTGGCTTTCTTGTAGAAACACCACCCTTCCCAATCTAAATAACCTGCCATTGCCAGCACTTCATAAAGGGAAGCCAGAAAAAGAAGTTCTTGGTGTTGCTATAAAGCAAAACCTTGAGCAGTACTACAGATCCCTTGTCTGCTCTCCAAATGTGCTCATGGCCGGTCAGCTCAAGGTCAAGTGTCTGCCTGGCCTGGTCTGGCCACACCTCAAAATTCCTGTCTGCAACCCAGGTTCTCACCAAAGGTCCCTGGCCAGAAACCAGATCCTTGCCTGTAGTGTCAAAGCATCAAGGCACAGCCCCTGGGGCCTATCAGCATGCAGGCACCCAAGGCCTCCCTGAAGGCGAAGCACAGCCTGGACCTGTGGGCCCCACTCTAAGTTCTACTGGGGTCTCTGGAGCTGGGTCTGGTACCACAACCACAGCTATGGGTAGTTTGGGAGCTGTTTTCCAATAGAGCCTTGCTCAGAAAGTAAACATCTTGTCCAGAATCCCATCAAGCAGGATATTTCAAGTTCACTAAAACATTAAAAGCACAAGCCTTCCTTCCATGGAAAACTCAGGGATGTAAAAATGCCTACTACAGCGCACTGCACTGTAATAAACATTCCGCATAAATTAATAATTTACAAGTACCTGAGCAAGTATACAGAGCACCAGAGCACAGCACAGCCCCGACGGCAGTAGCTCAAAGTTCTTGAAATAATGGTGTTTTAAACATTAAAAAAATTCTTAAGGTTGGTACAAAAAAATCACTCCAACTGGAGTTGAAAGATAGTGCAAACTTCTGTCTTCACTGTTGAAAAAAGGTGCTGGCTTTTGTCTCACTTCATGAAGGCGGCGTGGGTAGATCTGGGCACTTGGGGTAGATACTTAGGAGCAGGTCTGAATGATGAGTAATAAAGAGAGAAAATGAAACTGTAGTTAGAGGTCTTGGAAGCCACTGCTGTAGACACAGATGTACAGGATGGGAAAGGTGTGTGTGTGTGTGTGTGTGTGTGGTGTGTGTGTGTGTGTGTGTGTGTGTGTGTGTGTGTGTGTGTGTGTGTAGTGGGGTTTGAACTCAAGGCCTAGCGGTTCTACCACTTGAGCCACACCTGCAGCCTTAGGAGAGGTGTTTTCCTGCACTTTGATGAGCTTCATAGGTTAGATCCCACCAGCCCATGTATGGGCCCAAGACCATGCTTCCTTCAGCAGGGATTGCAGCTCCAAACCCCCACTGATTCTGGAACAGCACCATGCAACAGGAAAAATGATGTGAGTCACTTAGGTGATTTTAAGTTTTCTAGTAGTCACGTAAAAAATAAAGGGATGAAATTAATTTTCATTATAAGTTAACAGACCTAGAGAGTTATCATTTCAATGTGTCATCAATATAAAAAGCACTAAGAGAACTGACATGTGGGGGGTACTGAATCTTTAAAATCCAGCATGTGCTTATACTTACAGCATTTTATTTATTTATTTATTTATTTACCAGCCACAATGTGCTGAACACCTATTGGATTGCACAGCAGAGCTCTAAGTCCTAGAGCAAAGCTGCCCAGCACATGGGATCCCTCAAAAACGAATATGCAAGACAAGACCCAAGTCAGCTTGCACCAGCAGCAGAGGTTAAGACTGGCCTTGGTTGAGAGCACTGTGAAAAATGATCATTCCCTGGTCATGGCCATGTAAAGTGGTACTTTTTTTTTTTTTTCCAAATAGACAAAGAAAAGTAACTAAGTTCAGCCTCCAAACCACCATGAAATAAGTAGGATGCTACACAATTTTTCTGCATTTCTGCAGTCAGGAATAGAATCATTGCCCTGGTCCTTGACCAGTCTTATCTCTGAGATTTATTAGATAACTATTTCTTTCCCAGGTCAAACATTCTTTCCAAAAAGCTGTAATGAAATCACTAAAGCATGTTTTTCCCTTCAGAGATGTGAGTTGGTGCAGGGTCTGGCTAACAGTTAGTACGTTTGGATTTTTTGAGCTCATGGAGTGAGCATTCTGCTAGGGGGCACATGAATCAGGCAAGGGCTTTGGCTGAAAGTTTAACACCTCTGTGCTGGTCAGTGTTTAACAACCCACTGTAGCAAGAGAGCTTGATCTGTAGCATTTGCAAAAATACTCCAAACCAGGCTGATATCACAAACATGGAAACCATGCGAATAGCCATTAGAAAGTAGTAACAAATTGGAAGAGGCATTTTGAGCATTCGTTACCTTTGTTCATATTATAACTTACATCATAGCAAGTTCATGTGGCTTAATCCTTAATATTGACTAGGTTGGGCATCTAGCTTGCAAAATTCCAGGAAATTTGGTAGCCCTCACCAAAAGCATGAACCCAACTCCAGCATCACAGTAGGTTGACCTCCCTGTGTAAGTAGGAGTCAGGCTAAGTCTGCCTCCATCCCTGTAGGAGAGGGTGGAGACGAGGACAGCAGGAGAGCCTTTAAGGGAGATTCAGTTGTACAGAGAAGCCCAGGCCTCCTGCTATTCAGCATTTTCAGCTTATTCATTTCCCCATTTTTATATTTGACCCTCCAACCTGACTTGGTGCCTCTCAATCCTGGGACTGGGCAGAGTTAGTCTTGCTGAGAGTGATGGAGGTAGGGGTCCAGCCTTCATGCTACCATACCATTTTCCTTCTTAGTGCCTGTGGAAGACCTGACTGGGGCCCTATTGGCAGCTATAGCTTTCCCCATTTGGTCTCTTAGGTATAGTGGGGCCCTTGCTGAGAGTCAGGTGGCAATATCTGAGATTGTAGCTTGTGTTGACTGTTTCCTGGTTATTTTCACATCTATTGACTACTGCTCCTAGTTGTGAGGGAGACAGAAAGCATGGTCTAGCTTCCCCCTCCAACTCTCCTGGCTTGGTTGGTTCATCTGCCCTACAGTGTTGAAGGGAGAAAGAGACCCACCTGGTGGGAGCCAGACGTGATGCAGGTTCTTGCTGTCCCAGGGTCCTTGCCACTGGGGTGCTGGTGAACCGCAGAGTCCTGCACAAAGGATCAGCAGGCAGAGGCTTCTGCGGGGGGCTTGGCTTACGGATTCCCTGAAATAAACATAAGACTATACGTGATCCCTCAGCTCCAGAACCAGACACGGAGCTATCAGTCCCCCAAGAAGCACGATTTGGAGAGATTTCACGTCTGTGGCTAATCCTCTTGCCATACAAGGCAGGTAGGGTGTGACCGTTCACGTTCTGTTCTCTAACATTTAAAAGCTTTATCCGTAGGATTGTATAGCAAACACTCAAAGGCAGGTCTTGGTGTTCAGAGGCCTTAGGGGTGCAGGTGATGTTGGGGTTCTCTGCCAGTGATGGTCAGGAGATGTGAACTCTCATGAGCCTTCAGGGACTTTGCAATTTATTTATAAAGGTCTTGGGGAAACTCTTCCAAGCACTAATGAATTACCTTCCTTTCTTCCCCATGACAGGACTAGGTCGACTGTGAGTGCCCTGGATAATGAAGGTGACAGCCCTGCCCCCTGTCAGTGTTCCTCATGCCCATCAAGGACATGCACACATTGCTCTGACGTTCTTCCCTCCACATACTTCCTATGGTATGTTCAAAGGATCTGCACAGTGGCTTAAGGGACAAATAAAGCTCTTTAAAGGAGCTAGGGACAGCTGCACCAGAAGCCATGAGGACGGTAGGCAGAGCATGAACTTGGGGGCTGTTCTATCCTGGGTTATATCCAAAGACCAACGCTGAGGCACTTGTGCAAAGCCAACCTCTCTGAATTTCCATTTCTTCCTCCACAAAATGTTGGGAAACAAGATCTATCTCACAGCATTGTTGTGAGGCTTAAACAAAATAATGCATAGGAAACTCCCGGCACACAGGTAAAAACGATTAGTGCTAGCAGCATCCCCTCATTCCACAAACTTTAAAAAAGGCTTAATAGAAGTAAGAGAAAGCACAAAATGAAATAATAAAAAGCCCAGTATACTAGTACACCCACAACCTCTTCTCCTGGCCCTTCCCTTGCTCCCCATGGGAGGCGGGAGTTAGTAAGTGCCTGACACTGCTCTCCTCTGCAGCCCCGGGTGAATCTGGGTGCAAGATACCTTCTACTCTAGACCTGGTAGCCTGGAAGCACCAACAAATGCACAAGGTTGTGGGAAATGTTGCTGGAACCTCAAGAGAGACAGAATGTCCGAGTAATTAAATGATCTAACTCACTGTTGTCACCAGGTGTGGTGGTACATGCCTGTAGTCTCAGCTACTTGGGAGGCTGAGGCAGGAGGATCACTTGAACCCAGGAATTCATGAACAGTGTGGGCACCACAGTGAGACTGTTGTCTCAAGATCAAAACAAATACACAGTCCTAGGACTCAGTGTTCTACACATCCAGGAAGAACATTTAAAAATGATTTTAAAGCACTGGAGTTGAATTTCTCACAGTACTTATCATACTAAAATCACATTTCTCCAGCACTGGAGCTCAGTGGAACACATGTAACAGTAGACTCACTGTCTAACCTCTCCCTGCACAGCAGAGCTCCGAGCCCACAGTGGTGTGGGAGACATGCCAGGTGGGAACAACAGACAGAAGGGGCTAGAAGAGACCACCTGAACAAGGGACAGACAAATGACATTAGATTTTCACATTAGATTTCATTAAAAGAAACATAAGCAGGCTATAGAATGTAGACTAGAACAAATTCCTTAGCTAGGAACAAGGACACAGAATGTGCCTGAAGAGTGTGGGCCATGCACACTCAGCCAGGCTTTGCACTCACGAGCTCCTGAGCACATGCAGGTTCCTTTTTGGCTGAGAGGAGATCACAGCCCCTCCCTCTGGGAAGGCAGTAAAGCTCTCAGCACAGGGCGTGGCATGCAGTCACCATGAAGTGTGAGCTGCTGCTCCACTATGATTGACGGGGCGAGTTTACCTTCCAAGAGCATCCTACTCCCACCAACAAACTGAGTAATGAGCTAAGTCCACAAATCAAGCTCTCCTTCCCATAACAGAACAGAACACTGTGAGCAAGTTATCAGTGTGCAATATAAAAACAGATGGACACACTCATAAAATTGCAAGTCTTGGGGATTAAATAACCCACTACTAACAGATACAAGTGTTACTGTTAAGTGTGATTAAATGCCTAGTGTTGGCAATAAAGATGATGCCAGGTTTTAATTGTATGGAGAAATGAGATATGTGTTATAGCCTATCACAACACACTTGGATTTATCATGGACCTTAGAAAGTAATTAGATTGGGCATTCATTCCAACTTGCCTGGGATATTCCCACTTTATGCTTGTGGGAATTATTAGTCACATTCTCTCAGACATGTCCTCTACTTTAGGGAAAAAATGATATGGTCACTCTAGTGAGAAAGGTCCAAGTAGCTGATTGAAAGTTCTGACTTTAGACCTGAAGTCTGCTTCCTTCACCTGGCTCGGATATAGTCTGGAGGAAACATGTAAAGGTTATGCCTCAGTAAGAGGCTGGTTTCCTGCCAGGCCTAAGGGGTACAAAATGGCCATGGAAGTTTGACCGTGGTGGAAGGAGTGACATTTCCACGCGCCTGCTTGTTGCTTTTCCTGTTGCCTTTGCAAAAGCTAAACCAGGACTCCCCCAGAGAAGTCCAGTCCAGTCACACACTCTTCTGCAGGGAGCTAAGAAAGGACTCTAGGTTGCTCACATTCGATAAAGATTTCTTTAGATCTATTTTCATTTTAATCAAGGAAACAAATTCATTCCTTATTCCTCTTCCTTCTCACCTTCTTCCGTGTCCTGGAAGAAACACCAGGTGTGCTGGTATACAGGAACTCTCAGTCCTCTACCTTTTGCTCAGGTTCTAACAATAGCTGCATATTCCAAGATTTTTAAGAAGTTTGAAAACAAGCATTATAAAATCCAGATACAACCCCTTTGTTATCCAGAGAGATCTCTGCAAGGAGACTGGAAGTGATCACCAGAGCATGCCAGAGATGTCATACAGGGCCCAGTGTGGCATAAACAAATCTCATTCTGTGTACTCAGCCTATCTCTGGCTAAAAGACGATGGGACTTGTGATTATGGTACAGAACAAATGTTATAAACCTTAGAGAAATAACTGAGGCTGAGAGGTGGGGATTCTACAGCCAGCCACAGGGCCGGCTGAGTTGTGCGGATCCACTTTTCCTCTGAAAACCGCTGTAGTTGTTGGATGAAAAATATACTTAATTTTTTTTCTTAAAAGCATAAATAGCTTCAAGAAGTAAGACAGCAGGAAGCTATCAGACCAAGTCTAAACAGAAGAAGCAGCCTGAAGAGGTAAGGAATACACACAGCAGCTGGAGGCCTCTGCCAAGCTGGGGAAACTGAGTTCTGGTTTGATGCCCTTTTATGATGAGGGATACAGGAACCAAAGGTCAGGACCTTTGGACAGAAAGCAAATGCACTAGTTGAATAGGACATCATTCTTTTTCCAACCCCTTTCCAAAAAAGCTGGGCTCTGTGGAGGAGACCTTAGGTCAAGAATCATGTAGAAGTGACTGGTGACGCTATCTGTCCGTTGTGGATGTTGAGAGCCTTTGCAGAATACACTAGGAAAATGAAATGGCAGCCACACATCATCCTTGAGGCCTTGAAGCTGAAATCACACCACGTGGGAAGGTCCATAAGCCCCAAGCTGTTGGTTTAACTGTCATCCCAAACAGGTGTTGTCTTGGGCACCTACAGAGACAAAGCACACCCTCCGCAGAGGAGCACACCTTTCTCCTACACCTCACAGATCATTCTTCCAAAGCAGAAGGAACCACGTGTGAGAAGGAATAAGAGCCGGCAGCAACACGTCCAGAGACTTCAGGTGTGGGGATGATGAGAACTGTGCTTCAAGAATCGAAAGACAAGCACATATTTTCATTTAGCGCCAAGGAGAACTTCTGAAACAAAGTAGAACGGGTGAGTTTAAGGGCAAGCTGCATGAAGGAAGCAGAGTTTGCTGCGGTTAATGTAAACTTACAAAACAAGATACTATATACTTACGTAAAATATTCCAAAGAACTTATAAAAATAAGCACAGACTCAAGACAGTGATTGTATCTGGAGGGGGAAGTTGTGGGCAAAAATGACTTTAGTTGTCATTTCTTGATTTTCCTTTTTGTAACAAAGGGAGTGCATGTGTATTATCCATCTGGGACTTAAATAGGCACAAATGTAGGAAAACAGAACAAGAGCTACTTCTGTGCAACGTAAAAGTGGTGAATTCTAGGTTATTTTTACTTTTCTATATTTTAAAAACCAAAAAGTAATTTCAATTTCTGGACCAAAGGGGAAAACAAGAGAAACATGTAACACTTTTTTTTTTTTTTTTTTTGAGACAGGGTCTCCTTGTGTGGCCCAGACTGGCTTGGAATTTGTGATTCTTCTGCCTCAGCCTCGAAAGTGCTGGGATTACAGGTGTGCACTACTATGCCTGGTTATTAGACTATTCAAAAAAAAATAATAAAATTCTCTACAAATTAGAACTAGTGAGCACAGAGGGAGATTCTTAGGCTCATACTTATATTAATAAAGCATGAATAAAAATGAAATAAGGGTATAAGTTAAAGAACAAATTTGAGATAGTAAAGATAAATTATAAAAACAACAGAAAAGTTATCATTCCTCAAAGATACATCATGCACATGCATAGAGCTAGAAATTTTTTTATTCGTTTACTCATATGTGCATACATTGTTTGGGCCATTTCTCCCCCCTACCCCCACCCTAGAGTTAGAAATTTTCATTCAACTATCACCAGATCCAACAAGGCAAGTCTGTTATCATCTCAAATCTGTGGAGTGGAGATAAAAGTAACACCTGAGGTCTGGTGGTGGTTAAGGAAGAAGAAAATATCTATATAACACCTCTAGCTGCTGCTTTATTTTTCCTTCAAAATTTTTGTTTTTATTATAGCGTATATTCATTGTATAGAGGGGGATTCATTGTATCTTTTTTGCCAGTGTTTTATTTTCCTTTTAAAAGTTATTATATTATTGTTGTGCTGGGGGTACATTGTGACAGTTACAAAATTCTTACATTAATCATAGTTGAATTTACCCCCTGTATCA